TACTTATCTTTATTATGAAAGTGTTTCCAAAATAAAATGATCCTCATAATAATGATTGCTTCCAAAGATCAAGGATGAATAATTATATTTTCATATAAAAATCAGCAAACACAATAACAATACATAAGATAATTCTAATCGGCTAACAGTACATCATTCCATTTCTGATAGAGATGCTCAAGCACTGAATTGTCTTAAGAAAAAAATAAGGTTTTGTCACCTATCCTATTTCTTGCTGCAAGTTGAAAAAAATCAAATCCCAAAACTACCCACCTCCCCCTTGCATGACAACAAATGGCTATCGAGGTAACTGATTATGTGGGCAAAGAGTCTGATGAAAAGTATGAGCTTAGAGGCTTCATGAAACTTTTGGAAATCAAACGTGGAGGGTGTTTTCCATGTTTAAATAATGAAGCGCTAAGTTAAAGTTCCCGAATTGCCACATAACTGTTCCTATGACAGAGCTAATTTCTCTTTGGCAACTAATCTTTAAAAACCCCTAACTTTTTAAGGGAAGTTTTACAATGAGAGTTTTAAAAATTACTGTAGATCCAAAAGAAAAAAGTTATCTCTATAAAATCTATTGTTTTTACTTAACATAGAAATCATACCAACAGCTGTTGTTCCCTGGTTTCCAGGCCATGCAACATACATCAAAATAGGAAGTCAAGCTTTCATGGACCTGTGTTAAGGAGAACAGGCTTATGAGGATACAATACTTTTTAAGAAAAATGGCATCAGGCAGAGAAGAAACTGTGGGTACACAACTGATCCAAGGGCTATTGGAGAAAAGTGACAGTATTCTGGCTTCCTTCTATCAAGAGTTCCAGGAGGCGAGATAAACAACCCAGATTTTAGGTTAACGGTCTCCTCCAGTGACTTCCTGGGCAATTTTGAGAATACTTGGTCTTGTGGAGACACCATAGGATATACCATCTGGCAGCAAAGAATTTTTATTTCTTTGATCTGATGGGGTCTTAGTTTGTGGGCATTTGGTAATGTGTTCCTCTCAAAGGCTTCAGGTTGAACTCAAGTTGGAAATACCTGGAAAAGACTAAGGTTCTCCTTTGGGTGTCTGCAAATCGTAACAACAGTTACTTATGATGTTTCATGTTCTTTAATCAATTTACTCCATGAAAGCCAGCATCAGGTATGCTACCTCTGAGTACATATTAGAGGAGTTTCACCACCAGAGTGGACAAAAGGACAGGCTCCCTCAGCATCTACTGAGCGCCCCCCAGGGGAGAGAAGGAGACTGGTCACGAAGGCAAACCACAGGGCTGGTTTCTGGCCTAAGAAGAACAAAAATGTGGCCACAGTGAACCAGTGCTAATTACTATTTGGTAATTTGAGAATGGCATGATTTCATTTTACCAAGAGAAACTTCAGTTGACTCTGGCGACAACGATACCTTCATTAAAAATATATCTTGCTGCATTTTGCATGACTTCAAGAATTGTTTATGACTTTTGAAAGTATTCTTCTATAAACAGCATGCTAGACAGCAAATGCAATAACTAGAGCTAATTGCATTTTCTCTCTCCATACAAATTACTTAGAAACTGAAAATGCCTTGTTATCACTTTCTCATCAGGCTGACTTTGATCTGATTTTTTCTTATTTGAATTCCAGAAACATTTCCGGGCTGGTATTATTTGTCTACAAAGCAAAGATCAGCCAAAAGGAAAGAGAAAAAAAAAAAGAGTCAACTAATTGGACTCTTAAGACCTCAAATAGCACATGAAGTGTAAACATATAATCTTTTATTTCCAAAGGATTTCTTGAAGCCTCTCTAGACATCGCGATATCATCACACATACTGGTAAACGGAACCTTTTAACGCCTTTGGAATTATTCTGTATACTTTTATACTTCAAATTAAGAAAAAATACTCAAATATTCAGGCAACTTTGGTATTAACATTTCCAAGAAAGGTACAAAATAAGTATCGTTGCAAAATCATGAACAGATTAATAACAATCATGAGTGTCCACACAATTCTTTGTGAAGAGCTCTTTTGCAAAGACTCAGATCAGCTGGAGTAAAATTCCATTTTTTACTTTGGTCCGAATCACGATGAGGTTGAAATATACAAAGTGGAAGATTCAGTTAATTCTACCTAAGGTGAAAGTATTCAATTTGCTCAAATTCAAACTCATATACTTGGAATGGTAAGTTTGGCAACAGAACTAGACATTTTGACGTTTACTCACCATTTTAGCTAAAGGTGGTCTTATCTTACCTCGCTAAAAAGTTATTTCTCTCACCCAACTGCTTGCTTTCTTTGGAGAACCTACCTTTCTTCCTAGCTCTTCTCTGTCAGGGGCCAGTTTCATTATCTGATAGTATGTCAGAACACCATTGTCCAGCAGCCTAGCAGGAGGTGAATGTTAATAAAATCCTGGGGTGAAGCAGCAATCATATACATTTTTTTCCCTAAAATATAATTCGATAATCCAAAACACTGAGAGTTACTTCCCTATTCTCAAGTCCTATAACTAAATTTAGAAATGAGAACTGCATTTGGCTTATATGCTGGCCTTAGGCCCCCTGTGATCTGGGCATATTTAGCTTTGGGGCTAGAGGTTGAAAAAATTCTACCACTCTCAGCTGTGTCGGCAGCATGAACAGGAAACTGAGAGGGAAGTGGGAAGTTTCTGTTGTCCATGGTGGATGATTTTTATCCAAAAAAATATGGATAAGGATGAGTCAGTGATATTTTGGTTTCATCATGTTTTTGGAGAAACATTATACATACATAGATCATACATGTTCATATCATTTATTGACCCAAGGCCAAATTCTACTTGATTTGCTACCTTTTTCCCTCACTAAGAGATCTAGAAGCGCTATAACATTAGAGAATAAAAGATTACTTTTTCTAGATTCCTTCCTACATATCCCTTGTACCCCAGGAAAGTTCGAATGTAACCAGGAGGAAGGCGATGTCAACACAGGTTAAGTTAATTAACGGGAAATGACACTCACTAAACTACAGTTGAATTTACAAAATACACTTCCACAGCTATGGCCTGGCACAGGTAGAAGGTAAGATGTCACATATATTTTTCTCTCTCAGCCTCTCAGGCCACCATGAGAGAGTAGTAGACAGAGATATATTATTCTTCACCTTGAAAGGCCTACAAACACCATTCTGATTAGTCTAAAAGAACTCTTTGCCCTAAAATGTAAAAGTAAATAAAAATCTGTAGATACGTTGAGGATTGTGTAAAGTTAATGCCATCAGCCAGAGAGGCTCTAAGTATCCCCAGTCCTCCTTCTAAGTGACTTTTGGGAAAAACAAAAGATTGTTGAAGTTCTTCTTTGCTAAGGACAGACTCAACTTACTTCATTTTATGCAACTCGTCTACACCTTTAAAATTAAATTAGCTTATAAATATAAGCTAATCGTAAGACGATGCTAAAGAATGTCAGATGATCCAAATTCGAATACACTGTGGTTGTGTGGTTTATTTTATCCATTGAAAGGACCCACTCCAGACACTAAAGCAAGTACAATTCACTCTTCTCTTCAATGGATTAGCTGATAAGAAAAGAAATTCGACTTCTCAAAAATTTTCAGCTATAACATGCTTGCTGTTACTTTTTATTTATCTGTTTCTTGGCAGATGTTCAGATGACTAACAAGTACTTCTGATGTTTTATGATCAGTCTTACAAACTCACACAATCTACAAATTACACTGGTAGACATATCTCTGTTTTGTGAAATAAAATAATAAGAATTAGTTGCACTGTTTTCTCCGTAAACATCAGACATATTTCCAAGCCTCTTCAGTTATTACTATGGACTATATCAGAAACATACTATTTTGTAACTAGATGGGGGTAAGACTTAGTATTACATTGTGAGGTTTTTGTTTGGGAGCATTCTTTTAACTATTATCTTACAGGTTGTAAATTTGTGAACACAAAAATGTAATTTTTCAGAAAAACTGAACTGAATGTGAATGGTTCTGAGCAAGACATACACTCTCTAGTAGTTTGCTGTTGTCTTCACTATGCCCTGATTCACATATTTATATTAATACACTGTGGTTTTGGGCTATTGTTTTAGATGATGGTCTTTTTGATTTATAAGTATTTGTAATACTTTTTTATTCCCTGTTACTAGAAGTTAGAAGAAAGGAGATAAAATCTTTGGTTTATGTGTATGGTTTTCTAATCTATACATAAATAACACTGCTATGTAAGTGATAATGGAAACTTTTTATTCAGTAATCTTTCTCATTGTCAATCTTGCCATTGTCCAGTCAAATTTTTGTGTTTTTTTTTTTTTTTTGGCAATAGCTCTGTCTGAATAAAAAACCCGGTAAACTGAACAAGTCTTCAAAGAAGCAAACAAAAGGACTCAAGAGTGCAATGCTGCTCATTTCTGAGTAACAGGAAAGTCATTCTGGGTTATGTTTAGGGAGAAAAGACAGAGTAAAATAGTCTTTATCCCATTGGCTTCATCTCTCAGAAAAATAAAAATATCAGGATCAAATACCAGATAGGGCACTTTCTTGAAAGCTGGTGCAATAAAGTGCTTTGCACTATAGAAGTGACTTTTGCAAACTCTCAAAACTCTTTTTCTGTTTAAAATATACTTAGCTTCTTTTTTTCACGACATGACAGAAGACAGCGCTAATTTCATGGGCAGTGGTATAATCTGGTTGAGCCACTCTT